TGCAGCACCATGTGGGTCAGCTACCTGCCCAGGGGTCGAACTCATTGTGCAGTGGCTGTGGATAGCTTTGTAGTGCTGAGACAACCCCTTGTGCCACCAGGGAGGCCCTCACCTTTTTTTCTGATACTGATCCTATGTGGTCTGTTTTTTTTTTTTGCTTGATTTCCATATTTCTTCCCTACTTATTACTCTAACATGCATATGCAAATTACCCACACTATAAATATCTGGTCCTCTCCTTTGTAGTCCATATCCAATTGACAACTTTAGTTATCACAAAGTCAACTCAGTTGTACACCTAAAATTGGAAAATGTCCTTGCCTACTCTGACCCACTTCTCCAAACCTGTCACTTTTACACAGCACTGAGCTCAGGTAAGGCCACCACTGTATAGTCTAAACGAACATTAGAATGTCAAACTTGACACATGTCTCTCTCCTTCCTACATTCTATTGTCTGTAACTTCTACCACCTGTTCTTTATAATGTCTCCCAAATCATCCATTTCTACCACTAAATATTAGTTACTATTATCTGAATCGCACTTTCCTAATGGTCTTTCTACAATCACTCATACCATGCCTAATTTGTCTTATAGACTGTAGACCCAATGAGGTCTTTGAGACTTTCCACTTCAGCCCAGTTCTCCATTTTCACAGGCTTTTCTTGCTTTCCTAGATTACTCACCCTTGCTTCTTCTACCACAGGACCTTTGCACGTGCTGTTTCTGCCTAGAGTTCTAATTTTCTAAATTCATACCCTTCCCAAAGATCCTAGCTCAAACTCCTTTCTCAGAGGAATGTTTCCCTGATCTCTCAAATTTAGTAAAGTACTTTTCCTTCAGTGTTCTCATCTCATCTGTGATTTTAGCTCTGTTCTTAGATCTGATGATCTGTCTCTTCACTATACAAAGTCACCAATAAGGTCTGGGGTTACTCATAATTATATTTCTAGGACCTATGCATGCAGAAAAACTTTGAAGCAAAGAGGGAATTTTGGCACACTGTAGATTTCAGGGACCAATCCCTGAAGCTTATGATTTTCTTTCAAGAGGAAATAAAAGCATAACTCAGTGGCATCTTCACAGTTTATTCCTGCCAGATCTACTTTTCTATAAATACAGTCCTCATTTTCAAGGAATTTGGATAAGATAGTTTCAGTTGACTATTTTGGGGAGGTACTGTTTGTTCTATTTTGGAGGGAATGTTGTTATCTGTCTTCTCTTGGGGCAGGTGTAGGAATGAATTGTGGACACCAGTTACAGATTCCACATAAAAACTTGGGCATGCAAGGTAACTGCTTCACAGGTTCTGGGCAGGATCTGTGAGGACATGCTGAGTAGCATGGTCACTCCCTGTTATGTTCTCACCATTACTGGTTTCCCCCCTCTGTAATTTGAAATAGTAGGGATGATTCTGAGGGAAATTTTCACCACCATCCAGAGATCAGCTTCTGGTCTTAATGCTGAAAGTCTCTTAAGGACACTGGTCTTGATTTTGCATAGGGAGGATTTATGAGCAACAGGAGACATTAAGTTCTACAACTGAAAAACTCGTCCCTTTTCTGCTGCCACAATTGAATAAGATGTTGAGATCTTAATTTTTCAGAGTGCTTTTCTTACAACTTTATACAAATGTATAAAGCAAAACAACATATGTAACTTATAAAGCAGTACCTCTAGTAACTTATACATACTATATCTGGTATCTGGTTAATATATACTCAAACACACACATCCCGAAATTTTGGTATATAGGAAAGCTATGTACCAAGTTAATTATGCCAACATAAATAGAACTCACTATGGAAATAATAACAGATCAAATATTCATTGATTAATGCCAACTTATATTTTAAAATATGTATATAACTTAAATGCAAATATATAAACTTATTTTGTGTTTAAAAATATACACACAGGC